GGGCGCCTCCGAGGGCCCCGGCCTCCCTCTGCCTGGGCCTCTGCCTGGGCCTCCCCCGCTCCGTGCTCAGGCTGCCCTGCCCTTGGCCTTCCAGGAGCTACGAGGCGCAGATCCAGAGCTACCAGGGGACGGACCCGCTGGAGCCGTGGGACAGGTGAGCGCGGCCCCGGCTGGGTGCGGGCGCGGCGGGGCGGGGCGGGGCTGTGAGCCGCCCGTGTGCGTTGCAGGTACGCGCAGTGGGTGGAAGGATGCCTTCCCCTCCAAGAGAAACAGAACCGTTGGCCCGGCCTCCTGGAGCAGCTTGTGAAGGGGTTCCTGGGCGACAAGAGGTACCACCAGGACTCAAGATTCGTTAACTACTGCATCAAGCTGGTAGGTCTGCGCTTCCCTGCGGAGTTAAGCTCTCCTAAAACGTTAGAGGTCTCCCACCGTTCTGTAGTTCTGTGCCTGGGAAGAGCTGTGGGAGGAAAAGGAGCCCTTGGGAATGTGGCCTGGAATTCGGATGCATTTTTTCTCCCAAGGAGCTCTGAAAACTTTTCAGTGTTGCTGAAGGATAAGTATGGGGTTTTTTAAAGCTGTGTTATTGAGCTGTTGAGGTTACTAGAGGTATCTTCTCTTAAAACTGCTTTCATTTTTAGTTACCATCCTATGATGGTCACTAAGAAATTACCACTGTTTGTGGGGTTTTTTTAACCTGCCACTTCCTTGGATGTTTGTGAAAGCTCTTATGGCTTTTGCATCCTTATCTTATACAGGCAGAGTTCATCAGTTCTCCTTGCCAGTATTTTGAGTACCTCTATGGACAGGGAATTGGTTCAAAGGCATCCAACTTCTACGTTGCTTGGGCTCAGCAGCTGGTAAAGGAAGGCAATGTGCAGGGTGCTGGAGCTGTTCTTCAAAAGGCTCTTCACAACCAGGCGCAGCCACAGGAGAACTTGGAGCAGCTGTACTGGTAATTCTTATCTGTCTTCTACTTGCTGAGTTATTCTATATAGCCTGTAGTTACATTTTTTTTTCTTGCGTGCACGTAGGTTGTGCTGTAGCAGAGGGATTATTTTTGCTAAAAAATACTTGTAGAAATAATTGATTCTGTTAAAAGTGGGTATAAGCTTAATAATACTTCTTTGCTGTTCAATATTTATAGGGTGTTTTGGAGGGTGTATTGAGAAAAACTGCCACAATGTCTTCAGTGAAATAGGGTCCCAAAATAAAGTTCCTTAATTGATTAATTTCCTGTCTAGTCTATGTTAAGTAGATCCTAACAATAAAGACATGTAGCCTGGCCCTGTGTGAGCTTTCTTACTTGCAAGCTCAAGCAAGATGGCTATGCAAATGACACCTGGCTTTTCAAGTTAGTGATATTTGTATTCTTTCCAGTGTTTATTAATTGGCTGTAGCTGCCTGTGCTTCTGTTGCCATTGCCATTTCAATGCATACTCCAGCTGCAGCTTCACTTGCACCCTCTTTGATTTTGGTTGGTGTCCATAGCTGGAACTGCAGTGAGATCAGATGCCCAATTGCTGAGCTGGATTGTTTTTAGTTCCCCTTGGAGATGCGTTTACATTAATACCTTATCCAGTTAATACATTATCCAGTTTCTTGTCCTCAGTAATAAGTCTCCTGTAACTACCCTGAGTTTTTTAGTGTTACGTTTCACAGTATGATGACTGCACAGGGAAATCAAGGGGTCCTGGGAGGTGGGGAGGAATGAGGGAGAGGTGACTCAAAGATAATAACTGACATTTCTTGCAATTTAGCTGGCTGCAGAAGTATGATGCTCAGAATCCTCCTTTGCCAGGTGAGACTAGAGATATCTGCCTGTGAGCCATAGCTCAACTAGATGAATCTTCCTCATCCAGTGAGTTTTGTAACTGAAGAAAATAAGCTTCCGGTAGAAACCGATTTGTGTTTTCCTGGCCATATTTGAAATTCTTAAGGGGAGTATATGACAAATTAAATATTAGCTTTCCAGTGTTTAAAGCTAATAGAAATTAATAAATGAGGAAATTATTGCTACTCATTAATACAAACCATTATTGTCTGTGCCAGGTGCTGCTGTTATAAAACCACTTCAGACTTCACATGCTGCAAATCAAATGGCTCCTCGAAAAAGTGTTTCAAACCTTAACGACACGGTGCACGCATGTAAAAATCAGGTAAATGGTAATAAGTGATTTAGGCAGTGTTGGAGAAAAATGTGGACCCCTCACAGAGAACTTAGATTTATGAGCTTGACTGAATAGGAGAGGTAAAATATACTAACTCTTATCTGGTATATCTCAAAAAGTGTTACTCATGCTTTTATGCTGTAAGCATCACATCTTCATAGAGCTGGCTCAGCTGGGAAGTACTGAGACACACTTTTTAGTCACTTGATGCGTTTCCAGAACCACAGGCAACGAGTAAGCCACCCAGCTGGTTAGCATTCTTTAGAGGAACCCCCTTCCCTACAATAAAACATCAAAACCAGAAATGATACTACCTGTAACTCATTTCAGCTAAGTACCAGGATGCAGCACTCTTGTTCTGTTGAGATTCGGTGAATCTCTTCACAGTTCTTCACAGCCTTTCTGGCACAATCAGATGAAAGGTGAAAGGGGGGTGAAATTAAAAGCTGAAGGGCCGTGGGTAGGAAACTGATGTAAGCTTTCTCAGCTTGGTGCCCTTCTCTAAAGTGCTTGTGACTTTCAGTTTGGTATTGACTGCAAACACTGAACGTTGTCTTGTATGGTGGAGTAGAGCTTAAAACTTACAACATCTGCTGCCTGTTCCTTAGCCCTGAGCTTGGATAGCTTGTCAAAGTAAGAAAACCCAGGTGATCTAGAATTTACATTCCTGTTTTTTGGAAAAGAGACACTACCAATTCATCCAGTTCTAGTGTCCTGGACTGCACTTTCCAGAACTGCTTCTGTCTCTTGTAGTTCTCTGGGGTCTTGTTCATCTTCCAAAAGCTCTCGGAGATTACAGCAGACATGTACAGCTAAGTGTTCAGAATGAGTTTCCTCAGGCTCTGAGGACTTGTAGAGCTCTCTTGATGATCTGTTCTTGCCATGCTTGTGGTCTGAATTATCATCTCTTCAATCAGAATTAAATATTATGGGCTTCCTGGCAGCTAGTCTTGTAAAAAATGAATGGTTAACTGTAATACTGGAATTTTTTCCTTTTTTATTTCCCCTGCCCTGCCTTAGGGTCCTGATTCTGCTGGTGCTCAGTCCTGTTCTTCTGGTGGAAGAGAAGAAGTGTAAGTGTTGGAGGTTGTTTGTTTTTTTTTAAGTCACACTGTGGGAAAATTAACATGCTCCCAGAATAAATCTAATGAACTTGAATAGAGTTTTTCTTCTCTTTCCTCACAGAAAGTATGTCACATACATCTCCAAATCTGAAGTTCTTCCTAAGTCATCATCTGTTGTTGTGGAATGTGAGCAGGTTGCAATGTATGATAAAAACCTACTTGTCTGTGAAGGCTCTGAACTTTCATTTGAAGAGCTGAGAGCCAAGAGATACTTCAAGAAATATGAGTGCCTCAGAAGACAGCAAGAATGGGGTATTCTTCTCTCTCCATCTAGCTCTTCCATAAACATCCTCATATTCTTGGAAAACTAGTACTTGACTGCATTCCTTTCTTTTCAACCTCTCTACTGAAGCCTGAAAACTTTCTCAATGCCCAAGTTAGCATCCCCATGCAGAATCAGGGTGGGGTGAGCTTGGGAGTGTGAGCTACATCTCAGCTATAGCTGAGATGGTCTCAAGGCCTAGTTTGTAAGTAGCAGTAATAGCTTTGTGTGCTGAATGATCACTTTTTGGAGAAAAAGGAGGTGGGCTTTCACATAGGCAACTGAAGTCTTGGAGAAGCAAAGCCAAAACTGACTAATAGATAAGATATCTACATTTTAAATGCAAGCAGCTTTTAAGGTCTGTGCTGAGAAACAAATTTGGTTGCAGATTAACTGTTTCACTTAATACTATTGTTTAATCCTTAGAAGAAGAAGAGAAAGACGCCCTGAGGAAAAAAGAGTTATCTGAGCTTGAACTGCAGGCCCTGCAACAGAAGCTGGAGCAACTCACTCACCTCACCAAAAGCTTGGAGGAAACTAGACTAGAACCAGCATCTACAACATCAGCTGCACCCACTGAGACAATGGTAAGTGTGTGTTACGGTCAGTAGGAGCAGTCTTTGTGAGCGTTTCTCACCAAATTTAACAGTGTTTTAACCAGGGGGAGATGTTTAACCAAATGTGGACATCAGGGCTACAGTACTTGACTGGTATAGATACCCAGCATAGTTTTAAATACTTCAGGAAATGTATTTTAATTGTTGAACCCAAAAGTTCATTTTTCGTTCCCTGCGATTTACTTTTAATTGCGTTTGAAAGCTTTCTTGTGCATGGAAGGCTGTTCTAGTTACACAGAAATAAAAGGGGAAATGTCAATGGCTATACTTGTGTGGGGATTTTTGAACATTAAGGAACCTTTCCCATCTCTGAAGGTGCATCCACATGTGGGGTCCAGTGCAGCTCTACAGCAGAACTGGATGGCATCTTGTGAAAGTTCAGCTCTGCAGAACACCCGTGCTCTGCTGTCAGACCAGCCTCAGTCGAGTACTTTATCATCTACTGCCCTTACCCTGCAGTCAGCCAAACCTGTTGGCCACCATCTGACATCAACCTCCCTGTGGGAAGCAACATCCAAGAAGGATGCTTTGAAAACTCATCAAGAGCTTGGAGAACTCCAGAAGAGTTTATTACACCCTCCATTCAGTAATGTTTCAGCTCAGGAGCAGGCACAGCCAGACTCATCTCTTAATTGGAGCACTGGAAAACAGTACGTATAGACAGGCTGCAAATTGTGCAGTCTCCAGTATGCACTTCAGCTGAGGATTAACTGAAAAAATCTGAAAGTAGCTTGTAGAAAGCAATGCCTAGACACAGATCAAAATTAACATAACTTGGAGTCCTCATTTCAGTTTTTAATTCTTCTAATCCTGGGTTTTCATTGTAATAACTAAGAGGAAATTGTGTGTAACTGAAGTGGTTATCCAGTGCTACTGTTCATGCCATGCCTGAAATAAACAACAGGATATGCGCAGTTCACGCAGATCCCTCACATTATATCTTAGCTGTGAAGGTCTCCTGAGAAGAAGAAAAGTGCTTGAATTTCTCCTCTGCCCTCCTGCTTGTGTGACTTGGCTAATACAGGAAACCAAACTGGGAGGCTTTGCCATGACAGTTACTTGGAGGCAAACTGTATCCAAGAAGAGTATTTGGTTACAGTATTTAATTTTTAACCTTTTTAAAGGACTCTGCCGCCTTCCAGGTTTTATACCTATAGCAACTGTATGAGAAACTTTCAAGGGGGGGCATTCTCAATACTCTAAGTGATCTGTGACTTACTCCATTTGTGTGACTAAAAAGGGCCATTAATGGGATTGGGGGAAATAGAATCACTCATTTCTGGCTGTCTGGGATGTGTTCTTTGATATAGACTGGGAAAGGCACTCCTTGCTGCTTAGAGGGCAGCACTGCTAAGTCCTGGAGTCAAGCTGGATTTTAAGTAATAGTTTTTATTTCAAGCTCATGTTCTTAATCTCTTCTTTGAAGGCACCCTAACAAGAAGTCCACTGGACTAACAATGGCTGCAGACATGAAAGAAGGTAATAAGCCAAGTTTTGATACAGAGCAGTGCTATTGATGTGACTGTTACTGTCTGGGCATCAATGGCATGTGACTACTAGTCCCAACCCTAGCTGAGCTTTTTGACTTTCCTAGCTGCATCCCAGCATGTTTGGGCAATGTCTCTATATCCCTTCAGTAGAGCTAGTCCCTGTTTCCACCTTCTGTGTAATACTTTTTGTTGGAGTTTAGTCAGGAGTTTGCTGTTTGTGCTTGCTGGCTTCCTGCCTGCTTGACTTTCTGTGTCAAAACGGATCATTCCTGTGAATTGAAGATGAAGTCTTCTCCCTCTTGCCCTCCAGGGCAGTCTCCCTTGGGAACCTGCCAGGCAGAGCTCTGAACAAGCCAAAGTCTGCTCTTCCAAAATTGCGGGTTGTCGTGCTGCTCCTTATCTTGTTTACTTCTATTGCTAACACTTTGCTAGCTCCTGAAATGTTAATAAACAATCCCAGGCTGCCTCAGAACTTATCTCACTGTTCTTGTTTCTAGCATCTACAGTTGGAAATTCTTCCTTTGCCTCTGGAAATGCTTCTCAAGCTACCCCAAACACCTCGCTGGGCGGAGCAACGCAGGCAACGCCCTTCAAAGTGCAGCCTTCACCTACAGTTCACACAAAGGAAGCACTGGGTAAGCATCTGTAATAATCTGCTCCTTTCAGTGGAGTTGATGGGATCTTGCCAGGTAATTTTAGTGGAGCTGAATATCCAAGGAGGCTGTCTGGTGATGGGCATGTGCACCATTCCATCAAAGATGATAGTAAAGTTAAATTGGTGTTCTTGTTTTGTCCTTACCTGGTTGACTCAAAGCTTTTGACCAGAAATAGATGTTATAATAACATCCTAGCAGCCACAGCCTGTAAACCCCTGGATAAGTCACTGATGATGCATCTACCAGGTTTATTTTGGGTAGCATGTCCTGTGAGTGGCTCTTGTCAGTACTATCAGGGTCTTCTGCTTCTGAGATGATGACCTACAATGTGGAAGAACATTAGGAAGTTACTGAGTCAACTGTGGTTGATGTTGAGCTTCCCCCAAAGCTTAAACAAATGTGACTTATGTAGAAGGTCTTTGATTGTGTAAAAGACCTTGTCAATTCTAAGTATTGCCTTTTCAAAATCCTAGAAGGGAAACTGCAACTCAGTTTTGGGTGTCAGATGTGGAGTAATAATATCCTGATGCTGCTTTATGCCTTTTGTACTCTTCTTCTGTGGTCTTCTGTTTTGACAGTAAGCCCATTAACCACTGACATGTAGCAAACTGCTGCAACTGAATATGTATTTGTGAAAAGAAAAACAACAACAAAAAACTTAATGGTACTCATTAATTTTCCAAATATCTAAGAAGATAAAGGAGAGCTTGCTCCTTTAGAAGAACCTGAAATCTAATGGAGGAAGGGGCAGGCCACGGCACTAACAAGTATGTGTTGCCCAAGTTGGATCTTCCTGTGTTTGTTCAGTTGTCTGGAGTGTTTAAATGCAAGATGAAGGAATAATTGGTTATTGGCATGTGACAAATTATAATAATTGGTGTTTGATTTGACTATTGCACAGTAGGAGAACCTCTGAAAAATTATTTTCTTTTACTGGGGATGATATTCATGTGGGTTTTGTTTCTTGTGAGGATTTCTCATGGATATGTTTCAAACACCCATCTTGCCTGAACCTCTTGATGAAAGTGAGGATCAATTTGAAGCCTTTTGCAGAAAAAGTGGTAAGCACTACTTATTTTTTCAGTCCCTGCTATTTCAGTCTTTTATCTCACTTGCCCCTCCCACCAGTCCTCATCATTTTGAGATAAACAATTGTTGGTTAGATAAGTTAGGTGCAGTGAAGAAGTCACTTCTCTCCTGATAATTACTTTAATTTACTGACAGGTTCTAAATTTTGATGCACAGTCTGAGTCCAGCAGAAGCACTTTACTATTAACAAGCCTACTCACGTGTGTTGCTTCTCTGTGGAGACTTTTGTGGTATTTAAAGCCTAAATTTGAAAAGGACACAGTTGGTATTTGCTATGAGTAAAGATTTTTTCTAAGACATTTTGCAGACTGGGCGTTAGAATCTGAATTGTCATCTTACCATAAGAGTTAAAATTGTCTGAAATGCAGGTGGTAGCAATGGCTTACAAGAGTGAGCACAGAGTTGTTTCACAACTGGTCATGTGCAGCCAAGAAGGCTTCTGTAATCCTAGCCAGTCTTGGGTTTGAGCAGGAGAAGTCTTCCCCATTTCCAAGAGCTTACAGGAGAGATTAATTCAGTGGGAATTCTGAGAGTGCTCCTGGTCGAGCTGGAGGCAGCCATGACCATGTCTGGTGAGGGGTGACAATATGACTGTTTACACAGGATTCATTCTGTGAAAATAATATTGGTTATCTTTTATTTCTAAGAGCCTGATGGAAGTCTGAAAGCTAACACTGCTGCCCCTTTCACACCTGCATTTTCTATCTTTGAAGATGAGAATGAAAAAGAGAACACCAGGTAAGGAAGAAAAAAATTAACAGCTCAATTCAGATTATTAAGAATTACAGATAGGATTGATTCTATTCCATATACTTTTGCTGTGACTGTACTTGCAGTATCAGGATTGGCTTGAATACAGTCACCAGCAGCTGTGTAGAAGCAGGAGAAAGCTGTAGTTGCTTCTCTGTGGAATTGTGTAACTTTCTTGTTTGGACAGTGTGCTTAAGATGCGTACTTTTCTGGTTAACTGTGGAGAGCTTGTTTCTTTGAGCTACTGCAACTTCTCTAAGTATTTGCAAATGGCATTTAAAAAAAAATAATAAAATAAAAAACCAACAGTCTTTGTTATGGTCAGTTTGCCTGGGAAAGTTTCTGGGGAAAAGCCATTCTAAACTACCTGTTTTTTTCAGGATCCCACAGCATAAAAACAAGGCTGAGGAGCCCAGGACCATTGGAGAACGTCCCTTGACTGACCGTACAGCAGGAACAGAAGTGAGTATTTGGTCTCATTGCAAGAATTACCCTGGTAAATGGGTTACACAGCTATAGGGGATGTCAGAGGTGGTTGTATTTACCTTTTTTCTATCCCAGTCCTGCAACACTCTGATGAATGGCACCTGGCTGAAGGCTGGATACCCTTTCACATTTCCTGCCAACAGGATGAACTTTTTCAGTTGTTAATCTTCACAAAACTTCTAGAGCTTCATAGTAGAGATCTCTGGAAATACCCAACTGCAGTTGATGTTTAGATTTGTCATCTGCCTGGGGGAGGAAGGACAGTGAGCAAGAGACATTTGTGCTCTAATAACCACCTAAGAGTTTTCATAGCCAAGGAGATGCATAAAACTTCAGGCCACTTGGAAAGAAACAATCACTAAATAACTGGAGAGGCTTTTTCAGGCTCTTGCATCAATTTTTTTTGTAGTTTAGTGTTTTCTGCAATATCGATTATTGCCAACATTCAGGACTGATACAAAACACATGTAAATCTGTTGTTTAGGTGATATTGCCATTCCTTTATTGTTCTAATATTGTAAGTGGACTCGACATTATTGAAACTGACTGCAGAGGCTGCTGGTAGGCTACAGTGCAGCTCTGGTGGAATAGTTCTGATGACTTAGTTTCAAATCTTTATTTTTTTCCTGTCTAGGAAGAAAAAGGAACACCAGAGTTCTTGAGGGAAGATTACACTGTGTGGAATGTACCAAGCAGTAATAAAACATTAGCTCCCAGTCCAAACAACACGAGAGACTTTGCACGAGCTGCCCAGCTTGTATCCACACCATCTAATTACCTGTCTGCACCTTCACGACAAGCTTTGGAGGACAGAGGTAAAATCATGCATGCTGCAGGTTGAGAGCAGCTAACAGAGTTCTGCACGGTCCTGTTTCTGTGCCCTGCTTACCTCCCAGGCCTTGCCAAATGCCACAGAGGTATGGCTCCCACTGCTGCTGCTTTCCAATACAAACTCCTTGCAGAACGGCAGCTAGGAACACAGGCTGGCCCTTCACAGAAGCTGTCCAAGAATTTTTAATTGGGAGAATAAGAGAAGGTGGCAAGGCACAACAGAGACTTTGACTGTGCTGTCAAACTGATGTTCTGAGCTGTTGTTCCCAGCAGTTGTGAATAGTCTAAAATCGACTCAAGTCCCGGCACCTTCTTCTGGGAGCATCTTTATGCTTGTCTGCCCCTCTTTAGTCTTGCAATATGCTCCCTAAAGAAACCAAGCTATTGTCTTTCCTTACGTATTTTTAAATAGACATGTTCACTTCTAGCTCTTGTGATACCTTAGCAGCTTTCACTGCTGCAGTGTGCCTGAACTTTCTTGTCTGGGTAAGAATACTCTACCTGTTCTTGACTTTGTGGAAAAATAAACATATGCTCTTGTCACTTCTCCCTTTGTTCAGCCTGTGGGGATGAGTTGCCGCAAATGGAATTGGAGTTTTCTGAAGACCTGCACAAGCAGATAAAAAACAAGAAGCTAAGGTAGGTTGTGACTTGCTGAGATTTTTAGGGCTTGGGAGTGCTCAGCAGGTTTACACCAGAGCTGGCATGCAAGTTTTCCAAGGACTCCATAGCTGGTGAATCTGTGTCAGGCTGGCTCTGCTTAGCATTCATCTTGGCACTTTGTGGAGTTCAATGGAGCTGGGTATGGTGCTAATGCTCTAAAATGCTCCTGTGATTTAAGTTTTCTGACACATTTAGATTAAAAGTTAACTGTCCAAAAAGTTTTAATGGCTGTGTATGTAAAACTACGGCTTTCTTCTCAATATTGGCTGAACTTGTTGGCTGATGAACTTGAAGGTTATCAGACTATGGGTAGCACAATATGACCAAATTTCTTATTTTTTAAGAAATGTCAATTTTAGTCATCTTAGTGTTGGTTATGGCCAAGGTCACGAGAGTGGGCACATTTGACACCTTTTCGTTTACTGAGTATGCAAAAATGCAATGGCATTGCTGTCAGTTAATAATATTTTGTTTTGAATATATAGCCCTGCAGAACAAGGAAATGTCTTGAAACAAGGAAATGGAATTCAAGGAATTGCTACAGCTGCTTCTCAAAGATTACATGAGCAGACTGCCAGGAGCAGAGCCAAATTTTCCTCATCTGTTGGGACAGACAAAATTTCCCATGAAAAGCTGTCTGGAATGGGGCAGGACAGGACAGCTCGGAGTGTTAGAGCTGCAGGTACAAAGCACAGCCTACAATTTTCTTCTCTCAAGTCCAAGACCAGAGTGGTGTCATGTTCTTGCAGCCGAGCTTTGTTTCAGCATGAAGGTGGTCACTGCAGTGTCTGGTGGCTCCTGCAAGGAGGTTTCTGTGTGCATACAAGTGATGTAAGGAAGGACAAGCGTGGGTCATACCTGTGTTATGTGATGCCAAAGATCTGAAGTACAGGAGTACTCAGGAGTACCTAAGAGTTCTTTGCTAGTTCAGGCTCAAATACTTCAGAAACATCTACCTTTCAGGGCAGTTTTGGCAGGGAAGACATAACAGCTCCATGGTTAAAACTGAGGAATACTTGTCCATCTTTCTTTTTTTTTAATGAATATTTTTGTTTTAAATCAGTGGTACGCATTCAAGTATAAGGTTGTGTCACCTCTTTGAAACGACATGTTCTTATAGCTGAAATATTTTTCTTCTTTCCATGAAGCCCTTGTTGAGAACCCCTGGGATAAGGAATTGATTTGCAAATTCCTATCAGAGCTTCCTAAACCACTCCACACCTGTGCCAACTATTTTGAATGGAAATCTCTTCTTCCACCCATCAGACCAAAGGCTGAACTCCTGCTGGGTAAGAGCTACTTCAAACATTTAAAGCATTTATTGAAGTTTTTCTGAGAACCTCAGGAGCATTTTTCTAATACCCATTTACTTGTGCATCTATCCAGATGATCTAAACCTCAGAGCTGAAATTAGATCTGCTTTGTGGGTTTGCCTTCTGTAGCCCAAGCATTTTTGCTTAGGCATTTTGACTAGGTAATTTTCCTACTTTTCCTAGTAAGCTGTGGCTCAGCTCTCAAACTTTGTATAGAAGAGCAGCAGTCCTGTGTCAACAAAATCTGTATGACAGTAATTGCAACATATTTGTATGACTTAAATGTTAGTGTTTACTTTTAAAGGAACTGCACTTTGGAATTTGATTACTTCCAGGGAGTCACACTAAAATAGAAACATTTATTTTTAGTATATGGGACTTCACAGCATTCTTTTCTTTTATGGAAAGGCAGACTAGCAAGAGGAAACTTGTAGAGAAGGACTGGCACTGGGGTTAAAGCATTATCTTGTATAGGCTGGTGCTTTTTTCTATTTTTCTTTCCTCCTGGGTAAAGATGTCTCTTCCATGAGGTTTGCAAGCAGGACTTAAAAGTTGTTAATCTCTTAAAGGTTCCAGTTCATTCCATGTGGACTGCTTGGTTGGAGAGGGAGCTTTTGCCCAAGTCTATCAGGCTTCCATTCTGGATGCAAATAACCCTAGAAACAACCAGAAAGTAACATTCAAGGTGAGCAGTGTGGATCTGGAGTAGCTCTGCTGGAAAATTTGTAAGTCTTACAGTAATGATACCCCTCCTTGATGGATTTTGCTGAGTTTTGTTTATAAATATGAGGTAAAGCATATTGGTCTGTCCTCAAAGCCTTGTTCCCTTTGAGTGCCGTGATGTCTGATTCATTCTGCACAGGAAGATATTTATCCTCTTGCCCTCTCCACCTTGTCATTATAAAATAGTCACAAGCACCCTAAGAAGTTGGAATTAGAGCCAGGCTATTTCTCTCAGCAGAACAAAGACAGCTATTTGTGCAAGTGCTCTTGGTCTACAGCAAATGAAAATGTCTGGATTGATGATAGTTCTTTTTTCCAGACAGCACAGAAAGGGCCACTCTGTGTTCCAGATACATGCGCCCTGCTTTCCACAAGCATTTTTCCCCTTTGTGCAGCCAGCCTCTTTGGTGGCAGGTGTTGCTTATGTCGACTTTGTTGGGTGACACCTCTCTGGTACAGTTTTATTAATAAACACACTTGTCTGGATGGCAAATGCAGATTGAGCAGCTCCCTCTCTGCTCTGCCCTGCCTTCTTCCAGGCTGCTCCAGGGCAGGAATGAGCAACAGATGATAGCATGTGTTTACATCAGAACTGCTGCCAAAGGGAAAGTCTGTGCAACTGTGAGGTCAGCTCTAGCCTGGGAGGGTTGTACGAGGTCACACAACGCTGCATCTGCTGCCAGGGCATGTGTACAGTTACTACAGGCTGGCTGAAACCTAGTTATGGGCTGGAGCTGACGTACACACACCCCCTAAGCCTCTCCACATCAGGTCTTTTTTCCTACCTTTGGAAGATTTTTGTGGATCTCTTCATCAACATTTAATATTTCAGCCAAAACCTTTTTAGCGTAGCATGTTAGCTAAGAGCTTTCTAGTATGTGATGATGATTTAAGGCTTGTTTTTTTTGAACGAGGTATTCAGTATAGCAGGGGAAATAGAAGGGAAGGGAATCTCAAGGGTTTTTCTGGTTTGACTTCAGAAGCCTTCGCTCTTACACAAAATGTCTGTTGCCAGCAGGAGCATCAATGTTGCGGAAAGACCGATGTATTAAATAACACAAAAGAATGTATCGGCTAGAATGGAATTGCGGCATGTAATTGAAGTCTTGATTAAAGGGGATTAATCACTGAGTGTATTGACACTGAGGTTACTTGCTGTAGATAGAAGTATTCTGCTTGTCAAGAGGAAAAATGCCTGGTCTGTTGTTAAAAAAATATCCCAAACTGGGAAGAACTGCTTTGATGCTGATAGATTTTTGTACTAAATCAGTTTTCTGATTTCAGGTCCAGAAGCCTGCCAACCCTTGGGAGTTTTATATAGCAACACAACTAGCAGAAAGGCTTGATCCAAGCATGCGCCACCTCTTCATCCACTTTTATTCTGCTCATTTATTTCAAAACGGAAGCATTTTGGTTGGTGAGCTCCACAATTACGGAACGTTGCTGGTAAGCGTGATCAGCTTGGAACATCTCTATTCTTTTTAGAGTGCTGTTATGTTACAATATTCAGATGTCTCCTCTACTCTCCACTTTATGGACCTTCATGGTGAACATGTTCTGCGTTTATAGACATGGACCTGTGATTCTGTCGAGTTGTGTCTCTGTAGCTGATGGTTCTTTGCTACCTTTCTGTTTACAGAATGCCATAAACATTTACAAAAAGCTTCCTGAGAAGGTGATGCCTCAAGCGCTTGTCATCTACTTTGCTGTAAAAATTCTTTATATGGTGGAAGAGCTCCACAGCTGCAAAATCATTCATGGGGACATTAAGCCCGACAATTTCATACTTGGAGAGAGGCAAGTATTTCCCTTTGCTATCTGAGATGCCAGTGTCTCATGATATCTCACAGCCTTAGTACTTACATGGTGTCTTGATGTCGTGATTGAAGGTTTCTGGACAATGATACATGTGACATAGATGGTCTCTTCCATGGCTTGACACTCATTGACCTGGGCCAGAGTATAGACATGAAACTGTTTCCCGAAGGAACAGCGTTTACTGCCAAGTGTGAAACATCTGGATTTCAGTGTATTGAAATGCTGACACAGAAACCTTGGAACTACCAGGTAGGAGGCTGGATCGACAGCCTGAACATTCAGGGCTTGCTGCTTGCAGCTGCTTTCAATAATGTAGTGCAGAGATGTTGGACTTCTGCAGTAGAGCTGTGGCTTCAGCTTGTTTTAAAAATGCCATCCTGAACCCTCTTCTTACAGAGGTTGCCCTAGTGCCTCCACAGATTGTTTTTCAGCTGATTTTTAGCTTAATTTCAATACATTTTTAATATGAAACCTGTTTATACTTTTAGACAGACTACTTTGGCATTGCAGCAACCATCTACTGCATGCTCTTTGGTACCTACATGCAAGTGAAGAATGAAAATGGTATCTGGAAGCCTGAGGGAGCCTTCAGAAGGTTGGTGTCCAGTGTGCTCTAAACCTTGCCTTGTCTAAGAAAGATGTGTCATTGGTACCATGTTTCTTTGAGGTTAGTTTCTGTCAAAGCTTTTAGTGCATGTCTTGGTGCCTTAGAAACTGTGGGTTCAGTGCATGTGAACTGATTCAGAATTCACTAGCTGAAGCATAGGGAGCCTTTTGGCAGTAGCCATGGTGGATGCCATGTTCTCGGCTTTTTGCTGCCTGGCAGGAGGAAGCAACAACTAAGGAGGAAGAATCCCTCTTGCTCCCCAAGCAGTGTGCCATGACAGAAACAGCGCTGTGGTACAGCCATGTCTGCAGTTGCCTGTAACAGGGGTGGGAATGGGATAAATACAGGAAATGGTACTTTGACTGCTTGAATGTAGGCATTTTTGGATGTGTTTATGTTCCTTTGCAGGCTTGCCAATGCTGACCTGTGGAAGGAGTTCTTCGAGAGCATGCTGAACATCCCTGGCTGCCACAGCCTGCCTTCCCTAGGAGCTCTGCGCAAAAAGCTGAAGGACTTATTCTGCAAGTCGTACGCAAAGGAAATAAAGCTCCTTCGGAACAGGCTCGTGGTGCTGCTCATAGAACACAAACGGTCGCGAAAATAAGCCTTGGGTTTGCACAGTTACCAAGGACTGGCATGAGATTTTTCGTAATTACTAGTTTTTTAAATAAATGGTTTTGGGCTTAATGGCGGGAATGATAACTTGCATCTTTCTATGCTCTCAGGGAAAAAAAATTATAGTAACATTCCTTGTTAAATTAACTTGTCAGGTCAAGGAAGGAGTAAGTTGTTGGCAACAGCAATGTAATTCCAGCCTGAGACTCCAGCATCTCTGCTTGAGAGAAGTGAAGGCTGCAATTGGAAGTGACAAAGCATATAACGTGGGCAACAACAGCGTGAACTCATGTTGCTTTCTATACCTGAAGAGGGAAAAGATCGATAGGTATGAGGAGAACAGATTTTCCCCAGGTGTTTCTGCAGATAATTAATCAGAGGAAATGCTGTTTTGAGTCAGTGACATGTGCAGGGTTGAGCAACAGGGCTCCAAGTGCTGATATTGCAATTCTTGGAGGTTTGGGGCTCCTACATTCACAGACTTCCTGCTCTGCCCTGTCTCTCAGGAACTTCTAGGTTGAAAGAAACTGAGGTTTGCAGGCTGGATTTAGATTAGATAGGGCTGAAATCACACTTGCTGCCTTTAAATTCATGTCTGACCAGCCACAACACAATTACTAGAAGTGGGGACAACCAAGAGGCAATTGAAAAGGTTCTTTTCTGTTGGTTGTGAGATTTTGTTTTCCTTTACTGTGGCAAAATATTGTGACAACACTCTGGGGAAACTGCCAGGAAAACATTCCTGTAAAAGTGCCCCCCATTCCTTCTCTCTTTTTACATTTCTTAGTTACAGTGGCCATATACCAATATGCTGAGCTGTTGCTGCCTACACAAGATGCTCACTAGAGTTTGCATGAGGTTGGCTTGGCTTTAGACCTATTTCCTCAGATGTTAAATGTCAAAATAACTTGAATTATCTAAATTACACGAAGTCCAAAGAAATCTGGCAGCAAAACTTTGCTCCTTACAGGCTGGTGGCACTCTGCCTCGGTGCCTTATGGAGGGTGAATCATGGATGGCTGGCAGCGCTGGAGCCAGGATTGCCGGGATAAACCCAGCACAGAGATGCTCCTCTTGCTGAGGACCTTCTTCCCAACTGTGGATAAAGTGGGGAGCTGTAACCAGGAGCTATGAGACCTGGGGTGACTTGTAAAAAGATAATGTACAGGGAAGAGGAGAGCCAGAAACCCTGCATGGAGAATTGAGTGCTCAATATGGGTGCAGCATGAAAAAATGTGGCATTGGGACTTGGCTGCCTGGAAATCTTCCTCTCAAACTGCATCCAAGTAATGTGTCTGTGGACTTAACCTCTTGAGAAGAGAGTGGCATGCTTCCAAGAGCCTCCAGAGGTGCTTGCAGCCAGGGGGATATGGTTATCCTGAGCCTGCTCACAGTGTAATCCTGTGAAATGGAGAGGAAAAAAGTTGTTTTACCAGCAGAGTGCCGGGGGAGAGGTGAGGGCATTAATTTTATTTGTGCATCTATCCACAGGAGGGAGACAAACAACAGCCTTTAACAAATCTCCCTGCCTCTTGATCTATTTCAGGGGTATTTTTTTTCTCTGCTTAAATTGGTCAGTTTGAAAACCATCCAGGAGATGAGCCAAGCCCTAGGCCAGACAATACAGCCCAGGATACTCAGGGATGCAAGGATGTGCACCCAGGCTCCACAGCTGCCTCTCCCCCCACCTACAATTTCACTTTGGGAAAACCTTTTCCATATCACTCAGCAACGTGGGATATTTCCTTCCTTCAGCAGGGAGCATCTCCCTGCACCTGGGGCTCCTTTTCCCACCCTAACTCCTCAAATACCTCTGGGATTATCCCTCAACTCAGCCTGCTTTTTAGCCAAGCATCTGGCAAAAGCCTCCAGGTCTGAAACAAAGCAGCTGGTTGACAAACCAGCTGTAGCAAGTTGATCCTTGAAGGGGATCAGCTGGAAAAACCTCCTTGTAAGCTGGTGGAAATATAAACAGTCAGTGCTGGGGTTGCTTTTTATTTATTTTATTTTTTTTTTTGCCTCTATTTAATTTTCTTAAGAGCTGAATTTGTGCTAGCTGTTTTCTGTCAGGCTCAAATTTAGATATATACACATATATATAATAAAAAAAAATATATATTTAATTCCTTTCATAACGCATAGTCATCCAGTCCTCCGAAAAGTGCTCCACACTTCTTAGAGCATCATATGACTCTGCATTATGAGCACGATGGAGTTTTTCCCTTACAGGAGTGACCAAGTGCCACAACAGCTGTGGGAAAAGGATGACCTGAAGGGGTGGAGGCTCCTATTTTCTACCCAATTTTCAAACGAGCTGCTAAAAAAGGGCTTTGACAAACGAACAACAGCACAGAAACCCAGCTGGCGCCACTGATATTTCCTCCTCAGCGCACACTGAATCCACGCTGATGAAGATCTCTAGGTATCCCCAGACTCGCCCTTTAGAGATAACTCATCTTGGGGCCTCCACCACCCACACGGAGAGGAGAGATTTCCTGACGTGTGGGTGGCTGGCTTTTTCTTCTGCAGAAAACCCAAGTTTACTCATTTTTCACCCTTTGCCATCGTGTAGTGCCTCAGTGGCAACCTGGGGTCTTGGTCCTCTATCACTTGTTGGTGGCAACCCGCCAGCATCTACCCATGGCCAAGCCCTTGCTGCTGATACCATCTCCCTACTATCAAATTTCTTAATGTCAGAATTTAAGGCATTAAAAAAAGTTTGAGGTTATGAAGAGTTAAAGGCACCTCACACATGCACACTAATGAAGCAGCAATCCCAGTTCCTGTAGGTGAGGCATTAATGTCACCCAAGGCACTGTCAATGTCACTCAGCCCCACGAGGAGCAAGAAATAACTTCACCCAGCTTGAAATACCCATTAACCAGGTAACAAATTAACTTGAGCCAGCAGTGACTCAAAGCAACAGTCCACAGGGGCTGCCACAGCCCAGGGACCACTTGAGTCACAACGTGACTCTTCTCAGCTACTGCTGCCTTCAAAAGAGGTTGAGAGAACCGCCCCTTGGTTCCTCACCATGTTACCATCACCCTTGTGCAGGGGTGAAGAATAATGACATACCTCATAATGATGGTTTAGATGTTTCTATAACAAACTTCTATGTATTTTAAAAATCCACTTCTTTATATATATATATACACACAACCTTTACATGTTCATAGTAGCCACTAGGGACACAGAACAAGCTGGTGGAGGAGTAACACCTCTATTTTGTGGGGTTTTTTGTGTGTTTGTTGTTGTGTTGGTTTTTTTTATCTGATGGGTGAGTGCTCACCTGGGACATGGAGGACCAAGGCTTGGTCCCTGCCCAACACTGGGGATATGGATCTTGGGCGTCCGGTCACTTCCAGAGTCGACAGTTGGGCGGGCTCAGGGGTGGGGAGGGTTCGGAGCTTTTCTGTGCCACTGATGTCACCCGCAGGTGGCAGAGCCCGATGGCAGCTCGGTGCACGTCCCACGGCTGCTCTCACCACATCTGCGCCCAGCTGCCTGCCCCGGTGCAGGCTGCTGTCACCCACGTGTGCCGCCTGCCCGTCCCGTCCCACTCCACCAGGCAACCCGTCCATTCTCCAGCCTTCCCTCCACTGCCCAAACCTCCTCCTCTTCCTCCGCCCTCTTCCTCCCTGGCACCGCCCTGGAGGCACCTCGGGGGCTGCCTCTTGCTCCCGGCATCGCTCGGTAGAGAGCACGGCCCCGCGGTAAAGGTCAGGCTCCAAATCCGGCTCAGATCAAGCCTCGGCTTTAAGGCAAAACCTGATTTTATCTCCCAGCGCCGAGTGAAGTAACATTTATCACAATGGGTTGGAGCAGTAGTTGTCTTTTTTTCCGTTGGTGTGTTGTATAGTGAAAAAGGGGGTAGTGAACAGCTGCTTGTCAGGGGGTATTTTGGGGGGATTTTTTCGCTGCAAAACGGAGGGGGGAGGTTTAGCTTCTTGGGGCTGTGCTGACAGTTTCAGGGGTCCTTCCTCCCCCAACATCTCTTTTACTCCATCCCTCCTCCCCCCACGTTTCCATGCTGGGACAGTTCAGAGGTGGGAGATGCTGTCCAAGATGCTGTGGAATCCCCACCACCCTCCTTATTCATCCCTCTCCACTTCCCCTCGAATTCTTCCCTCATTTCCATCTGGGAGACAAGAAAGCATCCTATGGTAGCATCTTGTTGACACCAATGCTGGCG